AAGACTAGGTCTAATTCTTTTAACAATGCTGTAAAAGTAGCCTAAAGTCCAGTACCCCATTTAAAAAATGCTTTACCTAGGGTGCAAATTCAAAAGGAAACTCAACAGGGGAGGTGTGGGGGGTGGAGGCAACCAAGCGAAGTTGAGTCCCTTTTAAACTTAGAAAATAGACTGTGGTCATTTGCACCTTTTGAGAACTTCGGTATCTCGTATTTTTTCCTAATCTTTGATGCTGAGAATTCTAGTGAGACATTTCATGTGGAAATGGTTAAGCTTCTTGGGATCACTTTAGAACACTGTCTGATAACCGACAAACACAAGGGAAATGATCGATAGAGTGGTGTCGGTGGCCTAGTGGTTAGGCTACTGGACTCGTAATCGTGAGATTGCAGGTTCGGGGGTTTGAGCCTCAGATCGGTCCGACGTTGTGTCCTTGGAAAAGGCACTTTACACGAATGTCCCATTTGGCTCGGTCCTATTGGAGACGGACGTTAAACTAGGAGGTCCCGCCCCTTAAATAACCTAATGGTGTTGATAGGGGCGTTAAACCCATACCATTTCACCATTTATAGATAGAGCACATTGGGTTTTTTTGCACAGAGGTTTATTTAAAGTGAGAAAAATCGGCGCACTCATCGTAATTGACCTCTCGCTTTCTCATAAAGTATGGGATGGCAAGATGAAAACAATACGATCAAATTAATATCTAGGTTCAGGATTTTGTCAGAATGCCATCCATGTTGAAGGGCACTCACTAGAGGTGCCATCAGAGCCTCACAGACCCAGCTAACTAGGATTTGAGGGCCTCGAATTCGACACTTATATGACGTTTATTGTGTTGCAAGTGCCGTAAAACTCTTACTAAACAAAAATTGAGGGCCTGGACCAAGAACAAGCACTCGGTGGTCGCCCCATGCCCTAGATTCAATCCAGTATTCATGTCTTCTGCGGTCTGCTCTGATTACTGCCACTAACTTTGAATCTGCGGTTGGGAAAATGTGAGTCAAGAAGCAGTGGAATCGGGTGCTCATCAATTTTGGGGGCAATTAATGGAGTTATTGGTATCATCTTAACCCTATTCGTACGTCGTGTTTTACTATCGTATCCATACGACGAGGGGAACTCTGTGCCACCACTTTCAAAGAGGAAATTTACTCGTTAATCCGATCCGTACGCTTTGCACAGACGTCTGTCAAAATCATTTTTTGAGAAATACTGAAATCGTACCAGAAGTATTCAAAAGTGAGAAGAATACAACCCCAGGGGTACAAAATGACCCCAGGGCGTACGGATAGGGTTAAAGCTTATTCATGTGTCTGTATTTTCCATGAAAAAATATCCGACTGTCTTGAATAGAAGTCGAGATATTTATGATTAGGGCATTGAAACAAATAGGAAAAAAAAAGGGGGGGGGGGGTGGGAGTCGCCCAATGGTAGAGGTAAGATTAGAGAGAAAATGGCCGTCACAGTTTGGTGACTTCCAAAGCTTGAGAGTTCTTGGACACTGCAAATTTACATGTTTGTGCCTTTGAAAAACGTTTTTCAGCAAAATCCACTTTGAAATGTGTTTTTAAGTGTACGTAAAAGTGTTGAGCTAAAAGCAAAACGAAACAAGGCAAAGCAACTCTTTTAAACATCGATAAAAATTGCCCAAAGGGGCGGATAAAATGCGGTTATTTTAATGAGCGTCTGATTTCATCACGGTGAAATAGATATTCAGATCTTCATCTGTGACCACATCGCATGCCGCTACTGTGAATAAAAGTAAGACAATTTATCATTTTCTTTTTTATTATTGATCAGCACTTTTCTTGAAAAGGCAGAAGCGGGGAGGGAGCGTAATGACCTTTAGAACGTATACATAATTTAATGCACGTTATTCTATACGTATTGATTATGCAGTGAGTTAATTAATACTAGCACATAATAAAACGATCAAGCGTTCAGGTTTTTTTTGTTGTTGTTCTTTTTATCTTCGTTTTCTTATTGTTTTTGTAAATTTGGCTCAGAAAGCCTTATTTGTTTTTTCTTCAACTAATAGTCGAAACAATTCAAACCTGCTCTTGGCCGGGGTGTGATCTTTGGTTATAAACCACAATGAAAACTAACACGAATATATCTGCACACACACACACGCGCGCGCGCGCGCGCACACACACACACGCACACACACACACACACACACACTTTTTTAGTTTGAGTTGAGTTTGAATCTGAATGAAGACACTACAATTTACATAATAGAACCAAAGAAAAAACAAGAGAGACACACCGAAATAAGAGCAGGAAAGAAACAAAGTAAGACTTTCCAGTTGCGTACTCCCATGATCCGATCTTGAGAAGAGTGGAGAATGTCATTTATAACCCTGTCCGTACGCCCTGGGGAGTGTATTCTTCACATTTTAGAATAATTCTTGCACGAAGATCTCTTTGAAACTTTCAGTAATTTCAACAACGAAAATCATTTTGACAAACTGCTATGCAAAGCGTACGGGTCGGATTAACTAGTAAATTTCCTCTTTGGAAAGTGGTGGCACAGAGTTCCCCACGTCGTATGGATACGATAGTAAAACACGACGTACGGGTAGGGTTTAGTGGAGACACAGAGTTCCCCGCGTCGTATGGATACGATAGTAAAACACGACGTATGGACAGGGGTAAGTGGTGGCACAGAGTTCCCCACGTCGTATGGATACGATAGTAAAACACGACGTACGGACAGGGGTAAGTGGTGGCACAGAGTTCCCTACGTCGTATGGATAGGACAGTAAAACACGACGTACGGATAGGGTTAAGTGGTGGCACAGAGTTCCCCACGTCGTATGGATACGATAGTAAAACACGACGTACGGACAGGGGTAAGTGGTGGCACAGAGTTCCCTACGTCGTATGGATACGATAGTAAAACACGACGGACGGATAGGGTTAAGTAGAATTAAGATTTCTGTTCTTCGTCCATACATTATTGAACGCCAGGGCAACTTTCTTTTAAGAATGAAGATGATGTAGCCTACATGCAGTAAAACTACCTTGACATATTTATTGTTTAATAAAATTAGTATTGTATACTCCTTTACAGTGTTTAAACCTTTACACATTTCTTTTAACAGGGAGGTGTACATAATTATTAAGTTTTCGCATATAAATAAGACGAATCTATATTTCATAAATATCATTTCACACCTTTAATTAAAACAAACGGTGGGCATGAACTTAGAATAGTTGCTGATACCAATACCGGTAAAACTGTCATGGTAGTTACCATAAGACAAAGGAATAGAAAACTATGTTAAGCTGTTTGCAACAGCAAGGCAAATGCGACGTTCTAATTATCTTATTCTTTTTAAGTTTATATTTTTGTCTGAACTGCTCTTTCTCAGCATTTAAAAAAGTAATAGTGAGTGTTGGAGGGTGTCACTAGTAAGTAGGTCCCATTATTTTCTTTTCCCTCGGTAGTTTTTGTCGGTCATACTTTCTCCCGGCACTATATGACTGTTATTGTGTTGATAAGCTTCTTTTTACTCAAACAAACAAAAAACTAATAAATCCTTTATAGCCTCGTTTTGCTTTAGATTCAATATAGAAGCAATAGAGACACAATGTCCAGACGAAAGAAACATTGAAGCAAAATAATATGTGAGGCAGCGTGGTGGAATCAGGCACTCATCAAAGTGATGAAAGTCAAGAAACTGACATTTTTCTGCAAGTTTGTGAATTTTATCGAATTTTTGTTTTTTTGCTCAACACCTTTCATGGCCATTAAAGAACATATTTCTGTGTGGGTTGTACTGAAAAACGTTGATTAATGGCATAAAATATGTAAATTTTCAGTTTTCACGGACTCTCAAGTTGAGGTAATAACTCAATTTTGGCAGTCATTTTCTTGCTAATTTTACCACTGAAACCAGGCGCAATTTGCTTCGAAAAAGTCTGATACTTTTGCCACGGTTTGCGAAGGTGCTGTTGGAAGCAACAACAACAAAAACATAAAACAAGCACAATTAGAAAAGAAGGTCAACATAAGATGTTCGGTACATAACTTTATTTTAAACAAAGGAAAATGCTGGGGAGGAAGAGGATGATTAATACTGATTGCTGGAAACTTTATGAAATTCAAATCTTGAGATTATGTGATAATGATTCAATGCTTTACCTAAAAAACATCCACCTTGAACATTGCACAGGATTCAATAACACGAACTAATCGACTTCTGTTTGTCTTAAGAACTCTTTGCAAAATCTGCTGCAACACTAAATGCCTCTGGAGCAAAAAGAAGGATTGCCAAAATATGTAACCATACCTCAAGAATATTCAGATACTCAAGAGGCATCCGTGATCAATTGATTTCTAGTGCCATATATTATTTCTTCTATTGAGAATCGTTTTTTCCCCCCCAAATCCATTCCAAATTTTTTTAAAACCTATTTCCGATGAGATCAGTGGGTCTGGGGTACTAAAAATATGTTTTTTTAAATTTTGGTAAGTGTTTTATGGCGCTTACAACTGCATAAGTTAAGGTGATATTGGCACACGTGACGCATTTAAGCATGTTCCGTTTGCTAAGATATTAATTTTGAATTTTGCCCGGAAGGCGGCTACAGCCTACTCATATTGATTTTAGGACAACCAAGGAATCTTTAACGTGCATAACTTGCACATGGGACTTTCGTTAGTTGTTTGTCTGGGGTTTTTTTCGTCCTTATTCTAGTAGGCGAAGTGTCCAATCTTAGCTACCCTACGATCATAGATGTGGCTGAAAGACAGCAACAATAAGTAGCCAGTAAGCAGTGGAAAGAGTCAGGGGACCAAAGGAGTGGGGGGGGGGGGGGGGGGCAAAAAATTGCTGAAAATTGTATTGCCTCTGTGAAAAACTGGATGAACAAAAACAAATTGATATTGAATGATGATAAAACAGCAATCATTTTGGCAGGCAGTGCAAAGTCTGTAAAGGAAGCTGACCAAAATCACATAAAAATTGGCAATGCGGAAATTGCGTTTTCTAGAAAAGTTCATTGTCACTGTCATTGATGCTGGTAACAATAATGATACAGACATGGACACGTGGATCAACACCTTCAATACAGCAGTGACTGAAACAGCCAGTCAGATCCTCGGAAAACACCGACGAGTCAATAAGCCCTGGGTCACAACTGACATCCTTAACCTGTGTGACAAAAGGAGAAAACTAAAGAAGAAAAAGAAGCAACCAGATGGTGCAAAGGAGTACAAAGCAGTCAGCCCAAAAATTAAAACAAGTATGAAGGAGCAAAAGAAAATTGGATCGAGGAACAATGCCAAATAATCGAAAGCAGCCTGAGGACAAACAACAGCAAAAAAGCATATCAATTAGTAAAGGACCTGACATGCACTAAAGAAGGGCGCACCACCACCATTCAAGACAAACAAGGAAAATGCCTGACAGAGGAACAAGACATTTTGAAAAGATGGACAGAATACTGCTCAGAATTGTACAACTACAAAGCCAAGGGAAACCCCGAAATTCTAAACGTTACCCCAGCAACCAACATCGATAACCACCCAATCCTTCGAGAAGAAGTTGAAGCAGCAGTTAAAGCACTGAAGAAGGGGAAATCAGCAGGAGTGGACAACATCCCAGGAGAATTGATACAGGCAGGGAGGAAGGACATGATAAGCCCTCTGACTGTCATCTGCAACAAGATCTGGCAGACAGGAAAGTGGTCAACACCATCGACACAATCACTAGTGATTACACTCCCCAAGAAAGGTAGCTGCAACTATGTCAGAATTATTGCACCATCAGTCTAATAAGCCACCCCAGTAAGGTTATGTTGAAGATAATGCTGAACAGATTGAAACCACAGGCAGAGAAGATCATTGCCGAAGAGCAGGCAGGCTTTAGAGCAGGGCGCAGCACTACAGAACAGATCTTCAACCTCAAAATACTGTGCGAGAGGTACCTCCAACACCAACAAAACCTATACCATATCTTCGTGGATTTTAAAAAGGCCTTCGACAGGGTCTGGCATGCAGCCTTATGGGCAACCATGAGGAAATATAAGACCAACGCCAACCTGATCAACGTCATACAACAACTATACGACAAGGCCTCCAGCACAGTCTACCTTAACGGCAGCATGGGGGATTGGTTCAGGACAACGGTCGGGGTGAGGCAAGGCTGTTTGATCTCTCCCACTCTCTTCAACATCTTCCTAGAACGAATTATGACTGACACTCTGGAAGACCACAATGGAACAATCAGTATTGGAGGCAGGACAATCACTAACTTGCGTTTTGCCGATGTCATCGATGGATTAGCAGGAGAAGAACAGGAGCTTGCCACACTAGTGGAGCAGCTGGACACAACCTCAGCAGCCTACGGCATGGAGATCAGTGTCGAGAAAACCAAGCTAATGACCAATAACACCAATATCATCAATGCGGACATCAAAGTCAGGGGCGAGAAACTTGAGACCATCAACAGCTTCAAGTACCTCGGATCTATCGTCTCAGAAGAAGGCTCAAGACCAGAAATTCTCTCCAGAATCGCGCAAACAACAGCTCCGCAGTCAAAACTGAAGCCTATTTGGAGGGACAGAAACATCACGCACAGCTCAAAAATTAGACTAATGCGCTCACTGGTCATCTCAATATTTTTATACGCCTGCGAGTCGTGGACACTAACAGCAGAATTAGAGAAAAAGATTCAGACCACAGAGATGAGAAGTTACCGCAGACTCCTTGACATCTCGTACAAAGACCACGTTTCAAATGCTGAAGTACGAAAGAGAATCACCAACGCAGTGGGGCAATATGAAGATCTACTGACCACAGTGAAGAGACGAAAACTAAAATGGTATGGGCATGTCACAAGATCCACAGGACTTGTCAAAACAATCCTGCAAGGAACCGTACAAGGAAAGAGAAAGAGAGGAAGGCAGAGAAGGAGATGGGAGGACAACATTACAGAGTGGACAGGAAAGACGATGGGTGTAAATCTGAAGAGAGCAGAAGACAAAATAGATGGCGAGAGCTGGTTTTCCAATGCGGTGGTGCCCCAACGGTTGCCCCAACCACGGGATAGAAGAAAAAGAAGAAGAAGAAGAAGAAGAAGAAGAAGAAGAAGAAAAGTTAAGAATCTCTTGGCATCTCTCTTGATTTAAGTTCAAGTTTGCCAATATCGGTTGAGGTAAATCATCTGATCATCTGAATGTATTCAGAAATAAGAAACATCAGTAAAACACGTCATCTGGTCAAAACTAAGTTTACTACTTTGTTGGTAAATAGCTTGGTTTTATCAAGACTTGTAACTTCATATTTTCCAAATATCGTTGGAGAAAGTGAAAAGTCTTTCAACTGTGCGAAACAACACGATACGTTTAGTTTTACAGAAAAGAAAACGAGAATCTGCTACATTTCTTTTACGGACACTGCTCTGGCTTCCGGTTGAGAAAAGAATTATGTACAAGTTGGCCACTTTATGTCACACATGTTTGAATGATAATGCACCATCATATTTATCAAATCTGTTGAAACTGTACATAAAGAAATTTATTTTACCATCTATGAAACTTAAAACAATGGGTGAAAGGGCAGTCATTGAATATCAAGGCCCTAGCTGGAATACTTTGCTCGGTAGTTCAAGAGACATCAAATTCTTTATTTCATTCGAATGTCATCTAAAGTCTGTTCTACTTTTAAAAAATAATTAATGAGATATATACATGTTGTTAGAGAGATATTTTCTTTTGATCAGAACATAATGTACTGATTATATATTACTGCTGTAACATAAAGCGCTCAAAGCCTATGGACTTTAATCGGGGTTGAACGCGATATAAATGCCATAATATACATGTATTATTATTATTATTATTATTATTATTATTATTATTATTATTATTATTATTAAAAATGTAATAAATAAATAAAAATTAAATACAATAAATATTATTAATATTATTATTAGTATTAATATTAATATTATTATTATTATTATTATTATTATTATTATTATTATTATTATTATTATTATTATTATCATTATCATTATTAATATTATTATTATTATTATTATTATTACCATTATTATTATATTATTATTATTACCATTATTATTATTATGCTATTACAATGCAAAGTACAGAGCATCTGCTTTCAAGAAGGATTAAGTGAGATGTAAAAGAAAATATCATAATTTTTCACATCGTTTTCAGATAATGCTTAAAGAAAAAATCTCTTTTTTTCCCCTTCAATTGTTAGATCTCTTTTTTTTCTCTGCTTGTCTCTGTGAGTGTGTGTGTGTGTGTGTGTGTGTGTGTGTGTGTGTGTGTGTGTGTGTGCGTGTGTGTGTGTGTGTGTGTGTGTGTGTTTGGGGGGGGGCGGGAGGAGTTAAGAGTTGGCTATTTCCTAATTCCTCAAAACGAACTCTCAATCACCTCTAAATTATGTTCTTCACAACGCAACAAAGCAAATGATTAGATGTAAGTTGTTTGCGTTACATTAATTGGTCGCTTTTAAGCACAAGGGAGCTATCCCGAAAAATGCTGATTTGAGAAAATCGAAAGTCAAGTACTCGAACCCTTTTTAAGTTTCTTTAAAAACAAGGAGAGTTTTCTCTATAACCAAACAAATATACACAAATGAAACCAAACTTTTCCGGTAAGCAGGGCAATGCCCACTTTTGTTGTAGGTCAAGATTTCTGGAAACCCACGAAATCTGGGTTAGCCGCTTGTCCTGAAAAGCAACCAACTGACCTACACCAAAAGTAGGCATTGCCCTACGTATAGGAGAAGTTTGGAATCATTCGTGTATATATTTGTTTGGTTAAAGAGAAAACTCCTCTTGTCTTTTAAAGAAACTGAACAAGGGGCAACAAGTTTACCTTCGATTTTCTCAAAACTGGATTTTTCAGGATAGCCCCCTTGTGCTTAAAAGCGACCAACTGACCTTCTCCAAAAAGCGACCAATTGTGTGCCTCTGTACGGCCTTGGCCTGTACCTTTGTACTTTCACAAGGCCAACGAGGATCGTCATCTCCATCTCGACGTCTGTAGCAGCCTTTCGTGGAGTCTTTGTCCTCAAAGTGGACCGCGCTTTCTATGTACAGGGGAAACCTGATATAACAGGGATGATGGGGCCAGGGAAAAACTCCGGTTTTATCAGATCCCCGTTGAATCAGAAATGCAAGGGAAGTATGCATGTGTGGGCTAATGCAGCTGTATTTATTCACGGGTAGTTTCCCATGGCCTACGCATGACACATTACGCGTGCGTGTAACTGGGCTAAGGGCTAGATCGAAGTCTGCAGCACACCACAGCCCTCTCTCGCTTCACCCGCTGCGTGTGCTTGCAGTGGCGTGGCTTGTGTTACGCTCTCTCTCTCTCTCTCTCTCTCTCTCTCTCTCT